CGCTAAATGAGACCAAACCAAACACTTTTAATTCCGCCTTATGTCTGTTATTATAGTAAAGGGCTATTGTTGTTTGCGAAGAAGATTTAGAAAAGCTTCATTTTAAAATCCTACATTTCACATATGAAGCAACATCTAATGGAGGCAAGACGATCTAAAGAAAAAAAGTTTTTTTAAATAATTATTAAAGTTATTTAATGTTTTATAACAATAAAGCACTATTCTAACATCCCTCAATTCTGAGCCAAGGTCAGCTGAAGCACTCCTGCTGTATGAGCATGTGAACACACCAGGAAACAAACATCAGACTTCAAGATTATTTTCCATAAAATGAGATAAATGTATCCCTTTAGTCTGATACGTGTAGTTTGTGTAGTTTTTGTTTTATACCAGTTCCACTCGTCCTAATCCACCTGTTATATTTATTTAGCTGTCAGATAAAAGGCTTGTTTTTCAGCTTTCATTTACTGTTAAAGACTCCAGTTGAAAAGGTCAGAATGTTGATTAAAACTTATATTTTTCCTTTACACATCGTTATTAGTCAGTTTTCAACTAAAGAAGAATCAATTTCTGGTTAATACCTAAACATTCTTCTTGTAATTATTATTATTAAATAACTTCTTAACAGACAGGATTTTACTCTTCTCATTAAGTGATCTGTATTTGTGCCTTCTTATGGTTCCACAACCCCCCAAGGCGCATCACAACACAATCAGTCATCAACACGCTGGTGATGATGAGCTACACTGTAGCCACACCTGTCCTGGGGCACACTGACGGAGGCGGGGCATACCAGGCACTGGCACCACCGGTGCCTCCAACCAGGCAAGGTGGGTTAAGTGTATTGCCCAAGGACACAGTAGCAGCATTCTTTGGCAGGAGCCGGGATTGAACCTACAACCTTCAGATTACTGGACAACTCTGCCTCCTGAACTACTGCTGTCCCTGAAATAAAGCTGTCATTTGCGGCCAAATCCTACTCAAACACCAGAAAAATTAATGAAATGTAATAATAATAATAATCAGCTAACTGAAGTAAGCATTTTCCTTGTAATTTGATATAAAACGTTCTCCTCTTAGACGTAACAGAAACCTGAAGAAGCAGAAACGGTAATCCTTTACTGCAACCAGTTAAAAAAGGAGCTCTGAACCAAAACAACAATCCTTAAAATAAATAATACAGGTAGTACATTAAACATTTGCTTTAGCTAATATAATTTCACAATAAAGCTAAAATTTCTAAGGTGCCACTACACAATGTCCTCCCAAAATGGTCCTGAAGATCAGAGTCAGCTCCAAAAAGCTTGACAAATCAGCAGGAAAGGCCGAGGTAGCTGTGTCAAATAAAAACAAAGGACAGTTCACTCAAACGCAGCAACCATAATCAGTCAGACATGTGAAGCAGCAGCAGAAAACTGGTGATTTTAGGGTTCTGCTGTAAAACAGTCAGTACACACACCGAAATAATCTGAAAACCTCTTAGGACAAGCTGGGGTTTATTAAACAAGCACATAGAGGCTAACTTTTTAATCCAGCTTTTGGTGCTGATGTTTGTATATTTTCTTTTCTAAACTATAAGACATTATTTTTCTAATGCTCTATATTGTACCGATACTAATTTATTTCCTGTTTGAGTTTTACCAACTCCTAATTGAACTGTTTTGTGCAGCACTTTCGTCCGCTTCGTGCTGAGTGGCTGAGCGCTTTAGGACTTGACTTGGCACATATCTGGGGAGGGATCTTCTCAGACTCTGACATTCACCCTCGTCCCGTGGCTGGAAACGTTCTTACACCGCTCTGCTAGAAAGGCACAGAACAATAATATTAAACTCCCTTTTTCTTCCAGACTCAACAACGTGGCGCTTCTCCTCTCCAAGGCCAGATGTGGAAAACTGAACTTGAACTCTGTTGAACTTGTGAATAAAAGGCAATTATTAATGTCTCTAACTCAACTTAAATGACCTGACCCAAATTTCTATTAATTTACATTTTATGTCTATGTGAGAATGTAGAGCAGCCAGAAGGTCTCCAAGTTGAAAGAAGTAGAGGCAAACTGCAGCACAGGGACATTTTTCCAGAGAGCCAAAATGCTTCTCCTGCATTTATTTCCTCTTTCCTTTTACAGATCACCACATAACAAAAACAAAACTCCCCAAGCCTCCACCTGGCTTCCTTTAAATACCCCAGCAAATCACACCTGCAAACAATCCACCCCAATCATCAGTGCTCCAACATTAAATCCAGAGGGAAATAAACATCCACATAAAGGTACCTAAATGTTAACATAAACAAAAGACAAAACTGTTTTTACAATACAAGAAACATTTTCACACTAAGACACACTAAGACACATTTCAGTTAAAATATACCCCATCACAGTGCCAGCAGACTACAGAAATAAATTACAGGGACGAATGGGAAATCATCCCTACCACTTCGTCACAGTCTAAATAGCCTATTCTAATATTTCACTTGGCGGAGACCCCTACCTCACTGCGCCTGCTCCAGTGTGGTGTTGATGGGTGTTGTTAGAGTGCATTCTGCGGTGGAGGGGGCAGACATCGTCCGGTTTTAACCATCGTCAGCACACAACCCAAACCCTCATTCTCTGGGTGCATTGTAAGTGGGCACCGGTGTTACATCAATATGTGTTCCCCCCTCGAGATCTGTTTCTTTTGCACCCTGCTGCAAGTGGAAACGACCCAATCGCAAGAAATAACCCTCACCCTAGCCCTTACCCTAACCATAACCCTGGCACCAAAAATTTGTTTGGCATAAATATAATTTTTGAAAATATTGTGTGTAGCACAATTTTTATGTCTGTTTCAGGGTTATGGTTAGGGTAAGGGTTGGGGTCAGGGTTAGGACACACATTTTTTGCGAGTGGATGGTTCAAACTCGCAACTGGGTGCAAAAGAAACAGATCTCGAGGGGGAACACATATCGATGTAACACCGGCACACAAGGCAAGACTGAGTGAACAGATCCTTCCCTCCAGGTGTCGTTGAGTGTGTTCACCCCCAAGGCTCTACGTTTGCGTGGAATGTCGTTGGTGGGAGTGTTTAGTATACAAATTAAAGCGAGACTAGGCCGTTTTGGCTTGCTTTTAGCACCCCCTACTGTCCGTTTGTAGAACCGAAATCAAAAGCTCTCTCCTCGCGGTGCCTTTTTAACCTTAATCTAATGTCTCTCACACTTCCTTAGTGTCAAGAGGGATGATTCATCATTAAATTAAACAAATCAGCTGTGTTCATGATCTATACATGCAGGAAATGTGCTAAAACCAGACTGCTGCACTATACATGTCAGCTAAATTTTTTTCCAAGTCCAACAGACCGGACCGGCAACTGTGAAGTTGCAAGTGGAATTTTCTGGCCACATGGGTCGATAGGGGCTGGGTGCCCTTTCATTAACCCGGTAATGGGTCATTTTTGCACATACTGGCCCAAGAAAAAAATATGAAAAATTTGCTAAGTGTCCCTTTAAATTTGGGGCGCAGGCTGCCATGGGACTGCAAAGACGCCAATGCAATTTCAAATGAGTTGCCGCTATCTTTTTAGTTCTACTCCCTTGCATCATCCTGTCTACCAAACTGATAAAGCCCTGTGATTGGCACACCAAATTGATAGAGCCCTGCTATTGGCATTACATGCTACTGCTCAGGCCAATGGTAAACCTACTGAAGCCCCAATAGGGAGCCAAAGTCTCCTTCCCTTCCAGTCATCTCATGGGTCCCTGGAAGAATGAAAAAATGAATGCAAGTCAATGGGGCTAAAAGAGCTATTTTCTAATCCGCCTTGCCTTACGCCCTGGATCGCATATTATACTTCAATTTAAATGAAAACTAATTATGTGTGTTTCGACCGAGCCAGTCACGTACTTTAAGATTTATCAGCTTGTAAAAGTTCGTAATTAGCATGACTACAAATCAGACATCGACACGTCGCATAAATGACATCACCACATAATCTCCTCTCCCCTAGCTTAGCTGTTACCACATGGCTAGATTTATGGTGGTTCTTTCCATCTAAAGGGAGGAAGGATTTCAAGTTTGCCGAACATACTGTTTTTCTCCGTATCTGGTCCGATGACATTTGTAGTAGACTCAGTTTCACACAAAATCCAAGGTAAAGTTTCCCCGTTTGAAAATAAGCGCCTTCTTGGTATTAAAATGTGTCTTTAAAATCATATGTGAAATCCATGGTACATGACAAGCAGAATTAGAAAATAGCGTTTTTAGCCCCATTGACTTGCATTCACTTTTTTCGTTCTTCCGAGTACCCATGGTTTGGAAGTGTGGCTTGGTTTCATATGGAACGCGGCTAGCTTTTCATGTACAAAATCCTTTTTCTTCAGTGACTGTCTGTCTAGATTTCAATAGACATTCCGCTTTTGAAAATAAATATCTAAAATAAAAAATAACTTTCTATATCTTCAAATCTCACTAAAAGTACAAGATCCCGTTAAGGATCGACAAAATAAATGACTTCTTTCATATTGTGATATCAATATTATGTGATATGAAAAATATTATTGTGATAGGATTTTTTCCCCATATCGCCCAGCCCTATATTCAATTTATTCAGTAATTTTGAATCAAATCAAACTATTTAAAATTAAATCTAATTTATCTGAATCAAATTTAAATATTTGAAGTTACATTGAAATATTTAAAATACTACAGAACCTTTTATAAATCAAAAATTAGCAGAAACTTTATCAGATTTATTTTAATCAACATTATTTTTTTAAAGTTAAATGTGTTGTTTTACAATCGACACATCATGCACAGCATCTCAATAAAACTATGGTCTTTGTCCAAAAATGTTATTCTTAGTTAAAAGGACATAAAATCATGTTCTTGAGAAATTAGGAGAACGCGCTGTAGCAGGCATTGCGCGCTCCCGCGGAGGCTGATCCTTGCAGGGTGACACTTTTTAGCACAACCTCAGTTAATAGCAGGCCCACTTGCAGGAGCAGCAGCGGGTTACCGCCTCTGGCATTTTCGGGACTGCCCAGCGCTGGGGGCGCGGTCTGAATAATACGGAGCTAAATAACTCATTTAAACCGCCTCGGTGATCTTTCTTTACCCAAATCTCTACCGGCGTGTCCTGGGTACAGACCTCGGTTTCAGCACTTTGCGGTTCCGCCCCCCTTCGAAGATGATTCGTAGGAAAGATGCGCCGGTCTGAACGTTCCATTGACCTTCGGATCTTCCCGGCAGCAGCACCTAGGCACCGCGACGCGCCGTCGCCGCTACGGGAGCTACTCGGCTCCCGTCGCAGATCTCTCCTCTAACGCAGGTGCTCTAATTGCGCTCGAATCATCTTTGATTTTTCCTCCCAATCAATCAAGAGCGAGGCAGATGCGCCTGGCTCCGTCACCCCGGCTAGTACCATGGTGGAGTTTCCATCCCTCAGTCCTTACTGGCCTCTCCTCCGCTTTCTGGTGCCTTTGGCGATTACCAATGTCGCCATCGACCTCGGGGAACAGGTAAGGGCTCCCAGCTCCGCCGCGTGAGTTGCTTTTAAACATTAATGGTCGCCTCGGTGTTTGCTGCCAGACGCTAACTGGTAGCTGCCGTATATATTAACACTTTACTGTCTAAAATCATTTTTAAAGCCTCGTAAAACGTGACCGTAGCATTTATTTACCGTTATGATGTAAATGTTTAACGCAGGTTAGCGTAGCCGCTATTCTGTACATTATTTATAGGAAGAACAGAAGAAAAAGGCCTTATTTCATTTATTTATTTATTTAGTCATCTTTTATAAACCGAAACGTCACTGCTGCATTTTAAAATGCGCTAACTCGTGTTAATCTGCATCTTTTGTGCCGGTTGGTAAGAATTTGTGGTCATTTGTGGTTAAAAGGAACATTGGATCATTTAAATGAGCATTTCCTGTTTTCTTCAGCCAGAGCTGGAGGACCTTCCCCCAGCAGAGCAACCATGAACTCTTAAATGAGCTTTTTAATCTAATGGGTTAAATAAATAAACGCATATATGAATGAAACCTCAGATCAGATAGTGAGAATAATGAAAACACACACAGAGGCTTGGATATGTCAGATTAGGCTTATGTAATGGCTGGGTGAGGTGGTATAAATAGAAATGAAGCGGCAAATGAAAAGGCCAGCTGTATAAGTGAATGGAGATGATTCAGGGTTAAAAAGTGCTCCGTATGGTCATCTTTCGTAGGACAGTTAGAAAGTTCCCATCTGCTCAGAGATAACGCCCGCTGAAGTCATGCTGTCATTCTGAACTTATCTTGTGTTCACGTCTGCTCCAGGCTCTCAACAGGGGCATAGCCACCGTCAAGGAGGACACGGTGGAAATGCTGGCCAGCTATGGCTTGGCCTACTCCCTGATGAAGTTTTTCACTGGTCCCATGAGTGATTTCAAGAATGTGGGCTTGGTGTTTGTCAACAGCAAGCGGGATCGGAGGAAGGCAGTGCTGTGCATGTTGGCAGCCGGGGTCATCGCGTTTGTCCTCCATATCTTGATAGGTGTGTGTTTAAAGGGATTGTTTTTGTGCAACACATGATAACATCCTGCCTTTAAACCACAACTTGTTAACCTGGCGTTTTTTACTGCATTGTGCATTTTCTCCCAAGACTATTTTAGTCTGCACTCTTTCCAACAAATGCTTTCTCTTTCTATGCAGCTTACACAGATTTAGGATACTATATTATTAATAAGCTCCACCAAGTGGATGAGTCGGTTGGGTACAAGACAAGAAGGGCGTTCCTATTCCTGGCTGCTTTCCCGTTGTTGGATGCAATGGTGAGTGTGCAGAAGTAAACACACGAATGGGTAGAGCATCAGAAATTTCTGTTTCAGCTCCAAAGTGGTGCAAAAATAACAGCTCAGAGATAAAAAGATTAGTTGACATTCAGCTTTGCTAGCATGCTCTTATTTTGACATACCTTTTAAATGATAGGGGCACTTGACCAGTGGCGTTCCTAGAAAAAATTTCATGGGGGAATCCAACAAATATCCCACCGGGTGTGTCCCCTGTGGACATGTGGGAGCCCCCTGCTCCGTTCTCATTGTTAAAAAAATCTTACCGATCGCATTGAATGACCAGTTTATCAAATCCATGGTTAGTAAAAATTGAGTTTTTCTGAAGAAATGCAGAGAAGCTCTTTGTGGGCAGACAGGACAAAGAGCCTTGGGAGAAAAAAAGGTAAGGGAGTGAAAGAGGGAAGCGTCTGTACTCCTCGAGTGCCTGAAGAAGATAGCCTAAATCTACTTCCGCGCCGTGGGTCCCCGAAAGAATGGATAAAAGGTTAAAAAAATGCTATTTTCTAATCCGCGTTGCCCTACGGCCTGGATCGCACATATGTTGTACTGCAATTTTAATTAAAAATGATGATGGGTGTTTTGACCACGCCAGTCATCTACTTCAGGGTTTCCCCCAGTGCTTTATAAGCCTGGCGGCCTGCCAGGCTTTGCTTGGCCACCCGCCAGGATAAGCTTCATGCCCCGCCCCCCTCCCCGACCCTACAGTGTTCGCTGACATGGACGGCGCAACGAAACAAGAGCCCTCCGTCAGCTGATACTGGTGAGAAACAGCAGCGGAACGTGTGCAACCCCCCCACCCCCGCTCTCGCGGAGGAGCGCTGCGGGATGGAGTGTGCGACCCCCACCCCCGACAGCCGAATCCGCCAGGCTTAACTCATTTTCTGGGGGAAGCCCTGTACTTTGAGATTTATTAGCTTGTAAAAGTTCGTAATTGGCATGATACAAACTAGGAAAGGCCACCAAATAGTTCCCGAGTGCAGCCACAGCTGCAGTTCACCGCTCCCCATGGGGATGGGTCGTATAGGAGATGTAATTTCATCAGTGCGTGACGACTAATGGGACTTGAACTTTGGCACTTTTCAACAAAATCATCCATAAAAAAATGAAGATTTATACTTAAAGAGTATATTTGAAAAATGATTGAAAATGTATTAAAGTAAATGTATTTATTGGCTTTAACATTTCTGTCTTGGTTAATGAAGATGAGTGCATGCTTTGTGTGAATATGAATGTGATTTGAGATTTGGGGTGGTCTTTCCTGGGGGGTGCAAGCGAGCAGAACGAGGGCAAACCATTTCAGTAGTCTGACGTCTCCATAATTTTTTTTTTACATTACAACCATTACACACTCTGTGGTTTGGTGTCCAGTAATGTTATTTTTTATAATAGTTTAGTCTGCAAACATCAGTTGTCCTGGAAAAAATGCATTTAGCTCACACTGTCTTTCTGGAGCAGCTCTTCTCTGCCTTCATAGCAGCACCATGTTTCTATGTCATCTTCAAACAACTATTTCAATACTATTGTCTGTTTCTTATAGTAAATGGGCCTGTGTAAAGTTAATTATAAAAGCTTTAATCCTTGCTAAAGTGCTAAACGTTGCTACATGCTAACAATAATGGGTACCTGCAGTCTCTTTAAAATGTGAACTCTGAATGGTGTGAGGAGTTAAAAAAAAGTGATTATTTGTAGTCTTGTCTCTACTCCATCCTTTCCATCCATTGTTTGCTTTCCAGGCATGGATTCATGCTGGGATTCTTCTCAAGCACAAGTACAGTGTCATTGTAGGCACTGCTTCCATCTCTGATGTTGTGGTCCAGGTAATGGACGTGTGTTGATTTTGATCCAACACATTTGAGAGCTTTTCTTCTTTTTTGACCTCATTGTTCTTTTCTCCTCAGATTGTGTTTGTGGCCATTCTGCTGCAGAGTAATCTGGAATGCGTGGAGCCTCTGCTCATCCCGATCCTCTCCCTGTACATGGGTGCCTTGGTCCGGTTCTGCATCGTCGGGATCGCCTACTACTGCAACATTCACGACAACATCCCAGAATCCAGCGGGCTTGATGTGGGGGTACGTGCCACAGATCAGCTGAAATCAGTCGTGTTTATGTTTTGACTGACTGCCCCATGAGCGATCCAAAATCCAAAATTCCATTTTTCTTTTGACCCAGGAATGCACTGCGGCTAATCATTAATTTCAGATTGAAGCAATATTTTCTGTGTTGAAGTCTTTAAATCTTCTTAGTAAGCAGAAGTCGATGTTGGTTATCTTTTGGTATCAGTCTGTCAGATGTTTAAAAATAAACTCTGAGGAAGCAGAAGATGTGACTAAAAGGTAATGATTTTCTGCAGAAGGAAGTCTGCAGCTTGGTTTATTTTAAAATTGACGGGATGATGTAGGCCAATCATTTAGATGAAAAAAAGACCTGTTTTATTGTAACTATGGGGCAGGTTGGATTGAAGCAGGAAAACTGGTGCATTTGGGAAAAACAAAGACATGAATTTTAAACCAAAACTGAAGCAGAAGTGTGTAACTCTGCAGGGTGATGCCACCATCAAAAAGATGCTGAGTTTCTGGTGGCCCCTGGCCCTCATCCTGGCCACTCAGCGCATCAGCCGACCCATCGTCAACCTGTTTGTGTCCCGCGACCTGAAGGGATCCAGCGACGCTACAGAGGTGGGTGGATGTTGGGTTTTGTTTTCTCTCCTGTAATAAACTCCACTTGTTGGAGAATAAACTCCCTCTGGAACTTTCTGGCCTTGTGGAGTCCCCCCCCCCCCCCCCCCCCACACACACACACACACACACACACACACACACACCACCACCATTAAAGAGAACACAAAGCTGCTTACCAGAACCAACTGGAAACCATTGGCTGTTTGGGTGATTGCTGGGCATGTGTGAAACTCGGGGCATGACTACATTCCGATGTGGCTCTGCTGGTGCGGCCCGTCATTGCTGCTGTCACAATGATGGTGATAAAAGTTGTGAAAATCCAGAGAAACATGAGTGGTACATGTGCTGCTTTCACTCTGGTTATTATTGGGCAGCTGGTATTTATTTAGCTTTGTGCTATTTTTAGTCTGAATGGCGACATGCAAATAACCCGTACCTGTTGTTTGTCCTTCCAGGCCGTCGCCGTGCTCACAGCTACATACCCCGTAGGTCACATGCCCTACGGCTGGCTGACTGAACTCAGAGCCGTTTACCCAGCCTTTGACAAGGTAAAGCAGCGCCTCAGGATTCACTCATAATGGGGACATATATGGACTGGGGCAGTAATAAATTCCTCACTTACAGAACAATCCCAGCAACAAGCTGAATATCGGCAGCCCGGTGAACAAGTCCCACATTAAGAAGTTTACGTTCTGCTGCCTGGCTCTGTCTCTCACGGTAAGATGACGTCAGCCCGCCCCGTTCCTCTCACGTGTGTCATTTAATCCATTATGCTCTCAGAAAAGGCTGTTTTTGTGGTTTGTGCTGGAAAAAAAATCAGGTTCTTCTAAAAGCTTTAATAAAACCCTCCTATTTAAGTTCCTGACATTCTAGATGTGCATTTCATAGATCAAATGTTTGATGCAGCAGAAGGTAAATGTGTGAGACTGAGTGACTGTCATTATTCAACCTTCAGAGAGATTTCAAAAAAAGTTTAGAGCTAAAATGTTTAAGTTCAAAAAGTTACGGACCGAGTGACATTGATGGAGTGCTTGTTAGCAAAGTTTTAAACTGATCATTTTTTGAGACGCTATGGATTTATTGGCGTTTTGGTCAAATCTGGGCAATAAAGTCATGAGTCCTCTTGCACAACTTTGCTACTTCCCACATGATCGCTCTGCTTCTACTACATGAAAGTTTTGGGTCCGTCTGTAAAATTGATTGACTTGTAACCATTTTTTATGTTGGCTGATGTTGATTAGGTGTAGCAGCCATCTTTAATGGGGTTGACGGATGAACGAGTGTAGTTAAAATCTGTTTTTAAGCTATTTGGTGTCTAAAATGTAAAAACTTGACCCATTTTTTTGTTAATTGCTTAAATATTTGTGAAATGAGTTTAGTTGTAGTTGGGACTCAGGAGGTAGAGCGGGTTGTCCAGTAATCGGAAGGTTGCAGGTTTGATGCCGGCTCCGACCAGAGAATTCTGCTGTTGTGCCCTTGGGCAAGACGCCTAACCTGCCTTGCCTTCTGGTGGTGGTCGGAGGGACCGGTGGAGCCTGTGCTCGGCAGCCTCCGCCCCAGGGCAGCTGTGGCTACATCGTAGCTCATCCCCGCCAGCGTGTGAATGTGTGTGTGAATGAGTGAATGACCGACTGTGTTGTGAAGCGCCTTGGGGGTTTGTAGAACCCAAATACAGACCATTTAGTAAATGTTCTAGAAACCCAACAGTGGGTACATTTCCTGTCAGTAGCTTATAAACTGTACGCCTTACTTTCCTGCCTGACCTGTTTACCAACTTGAACCTAACAGCGGCCCAGACCTGATTGGTCAGCACTCACCAGCTGCTACCAATGAACAACAAAAGCTAGCAGGAAGCCTGTGGCTGCTGCATGTGTGTGTATACCAACACACATGCATGTTTACACAGTTAGGTTCAAAGGTCAGATCTTTTTGTTCAGGACGGTTCTGATTTAAAAAGATGCAGCTTTATTTCATGTTGATCAACCGTCAGTAACTTAAACCAGTCCTTACTGAACGATTCCGTTTGCTGCAGAAACCTCACATGGCCTTTGCTTTGACTCTTGTTGGGACTTTTTCTCCTCATGGTGGCTGGACTAGTTTCCAAATCTAAACAATCAATATGTTAAACATTTTCCGAAACACAACCCAGGCGCGTGATTCACAAAGAGACTTGACGGGGTTTTTAGTGACTCAGCCAGTCTGAAGTTAGGAGGAAACGTAAAGTGTTCCAGAACAAGCTCTAAAGTCGAGGTAGTTTAGTTTAGAGCTTTGTTAAAACCAGACTAAACGTGGTTTTCATCCTGGTTTTAGTCTCTGGTTGCAGAGAGAGGAAGGAAACATTCCCACCTGAACTTTAGAGATAATTAAAGTGTACATAAAGCCAATCTGTTACCACATTCCTAAAAGTTGGCACATTTCTGCAGTTGCTCTGGATTCGTGGGAGTCCTTTTTTCTCCTCGCTTTCCTCCCTGATGCTTGGCTTCTAGTAGTCGCTTTTTCCCCATCTTGTTTAGGAAAAACAGGAAGTTTGTGGCAAAGAGTGGGTCTTGGAGGAGGAGGAGGATGGCACACCAGATGTAGAATCCATGCCAAGCTGTGTTTGTTTTCAGCTCCACATAACGAACACAGGCCCTCATGTCGAGACTTGCTCTGATCATGGACATGCTCGAAGCATTTTGGAGAAAAACAAACATGGTGTGTTTTGTGAGGAACCTGTAAGGTATAATTTAATCTGATGAGAGCAGATTTGGTTGTAAATGTCTCACCTTGTTTAGAGACGCCACCGCTGAGTCAGGGGAGACGATTGCTCAGCATGGCCACATGTGCTTCTGTCCCGCTAAAGTAATGATAGCTGGTGAGGTGGCGCTGAGCTGCTTCACCACATCAAAACTGTCAAACAGCTGATCTCCTGAGTGAGGGCATGAAAATCCTTGTTTTTGTTGCCGTGACTTGGTTGATTTAGCCGACTTTCATAAATTGGGAACACTGGGAGCAGAAGTGGAGTTAAAAATGTTTTTGGTAAACCAGGAAGGACACTGATTACTTTTATAAAACTCAAAGAAATATTTATTTTCCTAATATTTCCAGCTTTTAAGTTGAGATCTGGTTTTCTGTCACGACTCAGACCAAAATGGCCAATAAACCCACTGCATCTTGAGCTGAAACTACCCGTTTTAAAACCAGATTCCCAGTAGTCCACCCGCTGAGGCGGTGGACTACTGGGAATCTGGCTTTAAAATAGCTGCCGCCGAGGCCCTTGGGTGGGGGTCTCGGCGGTGGCCATGGGTTGCTGCCTGGCGGCTGCATCGCCCCTGAGTAGGTCTGGGTGGGGGCTCGGGGTGTGGGGGCTGTGGGCCCCGTGGGGGATCTGGCCAGGGACTTGGGGATGGGGTCCTGACTTGTAAGCTGCCACGAAGAAGGCAGGAACAAGCGATAGTGCGTGGCCCAGGCTCAGGGGCCTCAGGCGGACCTTGGCTTCTCTGAAATAACAACTCTGTCCCATTACGGGGGAGGGGCTGTCCAGAAGGGGGAGGATTAACCTTACCTGGATGTCTCATGTCTTTCATATTCTGGAAGTTGTGCAAATGCAGGGATGGGAGTAGTTATTCTGCTGGAATGGGGCTGGGTTGGTGCCCTTGGACTCCGTGGGGCTCTGCGATGCTGCTGCTTTGGGCCCTGGCAAGATGGACTGGGGTCTCCATGCCCTGGGGGCATTTTTGGAACAGAGGTGCCTATTGGGGCCAGTGGGGGAGCTGGCTCCCTGAAGGGCTTAGGCCAACCAGCCATTCTTCCCCATCCCCATACATTTTTCTCCTCCTGCTCCCTCACATCATCACACAAACTTGCACATAGGACCTTGGGGGGTGGGCAAGTCAGGGGGTGTGGGTATGGATCCCATTTCCACATTCCTTAGCAGGTCTTAGCACACCTCGATTGTCGCTTGGCTTCCCGGGGCTGGAGGCTAGGAGGGGGAGCTGGCAGTCTTGCTGGGGTCTTGGGTGGTGGGATGCTTTGCTCAGCATTTGGCGGGGGTGCCTGCTCATCACCCCAGCAGGCTGGGGCTTTTCTTGTTACAGTCTCCCTGGGGTCCCTGTGCTCTGGGGCAGCTCCTAGATTTCTGGGACTTGGAGAGCCCTCAATCTCCAACACATCTTTGGGAGGCAGATCTGTGGCCCCTCACAACTCTCTATTGGACGCTCCTATAGAGACTCTCTTGGTCAGCTCGCTTCTCACACCAAACCTTTCGTCAGGAATCTTGGTGTGACCTTTGACCCAGCTCTCACCCTGGATTCTCATGTCAATTCTCTTGTTCGCTCTTCCTCCTTCCATCTGAGGAACATTGCTAAACTGAGTCCCATTCTGTCCCACTCTGAACTTGAGACTGTTCTCCACACCTTCATCTCCTCACGCTTAGACTACTGTAACTCTTTTTTTCACGTGTCTGAGCAGAACCTCCCTGAACCGTCTACAGGTGGTTCAGAATACCTGTGCTCGGCTTCTGACCAAGTCCTCCAAATACATCCACATCACCCCGCTTCTCCTCCAGCTTCACTGGCTGCCAGTCAACTTCAGGGTTCATTTCAAGATCCTGGTTCTGGTCTATAGGGTCTTACATGACAAGCACCATCTTACATTGGTGATCTTCTTAGTCCCTACACCCCCAGCAGGTCCCTGAGGTCCAGTGATCAAAGCCTACTGGTTGTGCAGCGCACCAGGCTAAAGACCAAAGGTGACAGATCATTTGCTGCTGTGGCCCCCAGACTCTGGAACTCTCTCCCCCTGAGCCTGAGATCAGTGGACTCAGTGGTCTCCTTTAAAAAGCAGCTGAAGACTCACTTGTTCAAGCTGGCTTTTGTATGACCTTCTTCACTCTTTCCTTGTTCTGCCCTCCCTACCTATTCCACCTTCCTCAGGATCCACTGATTTCCTTCTTTCCTGTTTACTCTCTCTTTGCATATTTTTATCACAATTGTCAATTTTTTGCTAATTATATTTTTAATCATTTTCTAAATTCTTATATTTTTACATTTTTTTGTTTTTGTGAAGCGCCTCGTGATATCTATCTTGAGAGGCGCTATAGAAAAGATCTTTTCTTCTTCTCCTATAGAGAAACCTTACATGTACAGGTCCTTCTCAAAAATTAGCATATTGTGATAAAGTTCATTATTTTCTGTAATGTACTGATAAACATTAGGCTTTCATATATATTAGATTCATTACACACAACTGAAGTAGTTCAAGCCTGTTATTGTTTCTAATATTGATGATTTTGGCATACAGCTCATGAAAACCCAAATTTCCTATCTCAAAAAATTAGCATATCATAAAAAGGTTCTCTAAACGAGCTATTAACCTAATCATCTGAACCAACTAATTAACTCTAAACACCTGCAAAAGATTCCTGAGGCTTTAAAAGAACTCCCAGCCTGGTTCATTACTCAAAACCGCAATCATGGGTAAGACTGCTGACCTGACTGCTGTCCAGAAGGCCATCATTGACACCCTCAAGCAAGAGGGTAAGACAGAAATTTCTAAACGAATAGGCTGTTCCCAGGGTGCTGTATCAAGGCACCTCAGTGGGAAGTCTGTGGGAAGGAAAAAGTGTGGCAGAAAATGCTGCATAATGAGAAGAGGTGACCGGACCCTGAGGAAGATTGTGGAGAAGGACCAACTCCAGACCTTGGGGGACCTGTGGATGCAGTGGACTGAGTCTGGAGTAGAAACATCCAGAGCCACCGTGTACAGGCGTGTGCAGGAAATGGGCTACAGGTGCCGCACTCCCCAGGTCAAGACACTTTTGAACCAGAAACGGCGGCAGAAGCGCCTGACCTGGGCTACAGAGAAGCAGCACTGGACTGTTGCTCAGTGGTCCAAAGTACTTTTTTCGGATGAAAGCAAATTTTGCATGTCATTCGGAAATCAAGGTGCCAGAGTCTGGAGGAAGACTGAGCAGAGGGAAATGCCAAAATGCCTGAAGTCCAGTGTCAAGTACCCACAGTCAGTGATGGTCTGGGGTGCCATGTCAGCTGCTGGTGTTGGTCCACTGTGTTTTATCAAGGGCAGGGTCAATGCAGCTAGCTATCAGGAGATTTTGGAGCACTTCATGCTTCCATCTGCTGAAAAGCTTTATGGAGATGAAGATTTCATTTTTCAGCACGACCTGGCACCTGCTCACAGTGCCAAAACCACTGGTAAATGGTTTACGGACCATGGTATTACTGTGCTCAATTGGCCTGCCAACTCTCCTGACCTGAACCCCAGAGAGAATCTGTGGGATATTGTGAAGAGAAAGTTGAGAGACACAAGACCCAACGCACTGGATGAGCTTAAGGCCGCTACCGAAGCATCCTGGGCCTCCATAACACCTCAGCAGTGCCACAGGCTGATTGCCTCCATGCCACGCCGCATTGAAGCAGTCATTTCTGCAAAAGGATTCCCGACCAAGTATTGAGTGCATAACTGAACATACTTATTTGAAGGCTGACTTTTTTTTTTGTATTAACACACTTTTCTTTAATTGGTCGGATGAAATATGCTAATTTTCTGAGATAGGAAATTTGGGTTTTCATGAGCTGTATGCCAAAATCGTCAATATTAGAAACAATAAAAGGCTTGAACTACTTCAGTTGTGTGTAATGAATCTAATATATATGAAAGTCTAATGTTTATCAGTACATTACAGACAATAATGAACTTTATCACAATATGCTAATTTTTGAGAAGGACCTGTACAAGCGCATGTACACACACAGGTGCTCACATGGTGCTTTCATAAGTATGGACTTGGGCATTTTCAACACTGTAGTTGGCACAAAATGCACAAAGTTATTATTGTGTGATTGTTCAGTAAAACACTGTTGATTTTATATTTCCTCATCAGGTTGACGCAGTGATGCCTTGCTCTAGTTGTATTGTCTTTTTTTCTCTTTCTGCAGGTCTAGAAGCACTCTTGTTCTTGTTTATTTTTGTGGGGGACCCCCCCCCCCCTCCTTTTGTCTCTTCCTTTCTCTTTCACCTCTGTCTCCGTGTCTGATCGGAATTATAAAGCGTTCAAAAAACAATAACAAAGTATCAGGCATGACTTTAAAACAGAAGCTTTGATGCTCCACCGCAGAGTAAATCTGTACGGCTTGCCACCAGCATTCAGACATTTATTCTGTTTGCTTCCCTCAAGGGCCGCAACCACACCTGATTCAGTGGTTGTTCAGCAGGTCATCCAGCTCTGCTGAAGCCTGTTAATTGCCCACAGATTATAATCTGGTGTGTGGAATCTGGTCTAATCTGTAAAAGATGTTGGGTAGGACACGGCCCTCAGGGACCACGGTTGGATGTCTGTGGAAAATCCAGATCTTTTTGTTTGGCTTTTTGCATAAAATTGAGTTAAGTTTGAAGAATTAACATTGTTTCAGTCTTTCACCCAAAACTGACTTTGTTTATTTTACTTTACAGAACACTTTTAATGACAAAATATAGAATTCTCTGAAAGTAAACTTGTAGTTTGAGGGAATAAAATCTCTAAAGGGGTAAAATGGCTTCATTGGACAGTAGAATGATGCAGGGAACACGTGGAGTCAGGAGAAATCATCCCATCATTCCTTTTGGGCATTTATTAGGATTATGTTTTCTTAAACATAATTTTAAGGCATTCCTGGCACATGGTTTCACATCGAGGCTTCTGGTCAGTTCTTCCATTATACCTCCACCTCCGTGCTTCAGCTGATGTGAGCTGCTCTGGCTTGGATGGACACACAGAAGCTATCTGAAATATTATAGCAGACCACCGTAACTTTTAGACCTTTGATTCTGTTTTTGTTCTACACGAATGTTAAATTATTATTAGACATATTCATACAAATGTAGCATTCATGTTCAGATCAGTTTGCTCCTATGTTTGATCAATGTCATGTGCTGATTTGATTAATCTGTGCCTCAACAGCTGCCTCCACCAACAATGATGCATTGAGCTTATCTGTTCCGTTTAAGCTTCAAAGGCCCACGCTCGGTCCTAATTGGAGGCGCTGGGCTGATCTTTTGTGTCCAAATAAAAGCAAGAATAAACTCTGGATTTGTTTTGTGTGCAGCTTTGCTTCGCCGTGTTCTGGAGTCCCCACGTGTCGGAGAAGATCCTGGTGGACGTGATCGGAGTGGAGTACGCGTTTGCGGAGCTATGTGTGGCCCCACTCAGGATCTTCTCCTTCTTTCCGCTGCCGGGTGAGGGGCTCCCCCTCCTGCTGACACCGACAGGGCCGTGTTTAGCTTCAGCGGGGTGACGGTTCCTCTTTCCTTCTGTCTGCAGTGACTGTTCGTGCTCACCTGACGGGATGGCTCATGACCCTGAAGAAGACGTTTGTTCTAGCGCCCAGCTCGGTTCTGCGGATCATCGTCCTCATCATCAGTCTGGTCGTGCTGCCTTATATGGGGTAAGTCAGAGAACACACCTGAGACCTGACTCACCTGTGAGAAGGCTGATGATCCTCCATGTTTCAGGGTTCACGGAGCTACACTCGGAGTTGGGTCCCTCCTAGCTGGGTTTGTTGGGGAGTCTGCAATGGTTGCCGTAGCAGCCTGCTATGTTTATCGCCAACAGGTGAGAACGCCTGGACTGAGGTAACCGCGAACACGAGAATAAAGACCTTGTTTTAGGTTTTCTCCAGACCTTTAGGACCAGGCATTCCCTCCTCCAGTTCTAATGTTTCAGTTTGGATGAAAAACATTTTATTAAACCAAAACTGGTCCTATAGCTGTTATTGTTTAGTGTCTGAAGTTTCCTTTGTTTTGCTTTAAAGTTTCCATTGACGCACGAGAACACAAATGTTTGTGCTAAAGGTCAAGCAGAATATAAACACTAGTCTTTAATAAGTCTTTAAAATCAACAATTTAGTTTACAAACCTTTTATCAGATATAAAGTTAATTCATGTCATGATTTTCAATTATTTATTGAATTGTCCACATTAAAAACTCAAATGGTAAGAATACCAAAAGGACACCAGTACCTAAAAATATTTAGAACAGAAGGGATTAAATGTCACTTTCCCAAAACGTTTCTGTTACCAGACATTAGTTCATGTAATGGTACACTTTTTATGCGTTTCTATTTTTGAAGTGGTTTTCTTGAAAAGTCGTGGTCAGGGAGTTCGGCCTAGCCTGTTCTAGGTAATCACATCATCACATATAGACTTATTAAAGCCTTATCAGCTACTAGATTAGAACAACTAAAGTCCAGCGTGGGCAACGCAAGTAACCAAGAGCATCTTTTTCTTATTCTTGTTCTCAGAAAAACAGCGAGCTGTCCAACGAGCTGGTGGTGGAGGGAGAGGACTCTGCCCCGATGGGCGAGGGTTTCACCAGGAACCCGATGGACGCCATCGAGGAGGAAGAGGAGGAGCAGGAGTGAGCTGTGAGGAGGGAGACTTCAGCGTGGAGGTTTTTCTGAAGAAGAGTCCAGGACTGGAGCTGGGTTTGGGTTCGGAAGTCCTTCATGCTGTAAAAACGCACACTGTACAGAAAGCCATGCACCTTGGATTGTTCAGTGTAAATATCGTCTTCATCACATCAGTGGCTGTACCTCCAGGTCTCTTCTATTTACTGGTGAACGAGGGAAATCCTCTTCCTCAGCAGCTAAAACGAGTCGACTCGTAGCAGAGTGGACTAGATAGTTCATCGTTTCATGTTGAGTTTTCATTCAAACATGTTGTGGGTTGTGCAATCGTACTTTAGAGACATCGGTGTACAGATTCCTGTTTTTGATGCGTTGTGTATACTTAAAACTCCCAGAGCAGTCGGGAATCCCTCGTTCTGTCGCCGCGTGTTTAAGAAAACAAACAAGATTGTTCACTAAAGCAGTCGGGGAGTCAGATCTACTTTTTGTTTAGCAAAATCCTTTTCCTCAGTAGTATTCAGACGGTCATATGTACTGTATATACTGTATAGGCATTCTTACTTCCAAATAAATTGCTTTATTATTGTTATCCCCTTTCTCACCTTAAGTTATTATCTGCAGTGAGGTCTGATTTCTCTTCAGTCTCATTAGAAATGTGATCAAATGAAACAAAGCTCCATTTTAGTGAAGCGCACAAACAAAAAATTTCAAAAAGTCTTTTTTATTTAACAGCCATTGAAAAACTGGTGGTGCCAGAACATTCCTGCAAATGGCATATCACTTGTACCTGATAAGTGAAACCAAACATTCCTTATTGTGCATCGTTACTAAGGCAACATGGACCAAGCCCGCCTTTTCTACTGAGCCGTACCGCTGTTGGACCAGGACCAGGTTTCTGCAGCCGCATCTCTTCTCTTCACAGCTTGGTTAAAGGCAACATGTCACTGAGTTTCACACACACACACACACACACACGCACACACACACGCACACACGCACACGCACGCAGACTGCCCTCCAAGTCTTCTCTGATCATCCTAAAAGCTGAACGATCCAACTAATCCAGCTGTTCTCATGTAAAAATTTTCACCAACAAAAACAATAAATTAAAAGACAAAACCGTCCAGAATCCAGTGTAAACATTTTGCATCACTTAGATTTTTTTTTTTCAATTCAAATGTTAAGTTAAATCTGAAGCTCATATCAACACTTTAACATGATTCCAAAAATCAGATATGTACAAATACTCGGGTAGAAAACTACAGTACAGTGCATACAGGTGTAGAAACACCTTGTACGGGGTCTTGAGTCGGCATCTAGGTGGAAGCTGTTTTGGGATATGTGCTTCTCTGGTTGGTTGGTTTGATGGAGGCAAGAAACCAAAGATTATAACCTGGAGCCTCGTCTGTTCCTAAAACGAGCTTTTCTTTAAGATCAGTTTTATTAAAGACACCAACTTAAATCCACTTCCTGCTCTGAGTTTGATCAAATACTGGCATGGCTGCACTTGGCAACGACTTACCATTCAAATAAAATCAAATGTACAAACAAAGGACGTTTTGTGGCATTTTGACAAAACTTTGGAGACGTCTGTAAGGGTGATAAATACTGATTATAAACATACAACACAAAACAAACATGTTAAAGGTAATTAATCATTAATTTAATCCATGTACCCGTTGTGCTAACCGTTTGAACCGTCGCTTTAAGGAATGGGCTTTCACACAGTGTCTCCCACTGAGCTGGTCTTCGTGAGAAAGGTTTAGCGCGGGTTACCCTCCTGAAGCGGTCCTGATTTTTTGGCACTTTGACTGGCGGAAGCTAAACTGAGAAGATTTGAGACGAGTTCCAGGAACCTGTAACAGCTGACTATTTTAGGAGAAAATGTGTTGCCCAGATATTTTGGACAGGTTAAAACCTCCAGGGACACAAAAGCAAGGTCCTGTGACTTTAAAACCTTGCAAATGTTTTGGGACTCTCTGGAAACTCCATCGAGAATTTTGTTGTGTAATTTTTCAGCAGCAGTCACAGACAGGTGGAACCTTTCAAGATGTTTTAGTTAAGCTAACAACTGCTCATCTTACTTTATGGAAGCATATTTCCTAAAACTCCTCTCCAAACTGGCATCAAGGGTGTGATGTGGGTGGACCTGAGGGGTGCTTGAACACCAAGAGGTTCCCCTGCAGCATCCATCAGCTGGAAGTGAGCTCTTTGAGCTCTGCAGCTTCTACAACGGGCACGTTGTAGTGGCGGTCGTCCTCGGTGACGAGGCAAACGGACGGCCAGTCGTCCTTATGGTCATCTGGGTAGAAGGTGATGAACTCCTCGGTGTTGGCCTTGTAGAGTCTGTAAACTTGAATGGTGTGCTGCAGGGCGTAGCCCAGCAGGAACATCTCCACCTGCACAGAACGGAAAAACAAAACCGTGAAGCTTCACAGGAGTTCCCACAGAGTTCTATAAATGTTTGATCAGCTGAATCAGGGTGGGGCAGCTTTGCTTGTAAAAACTTTAATTTGCACTCTCCAAATAATTATAGCACTCAGCAGTTTGTTCTCCCTGAATCCTCCCTCTCCCTGGGGCTGATGGGTACCACTGAAAAACAGAACAGGCACCAACATGTCCTAGATGACGTAAACTCACATTCTGGTCACACTTCTTCACTTTATGCTGCAGAACTCCAGCTGGAGCTGCTCGGACTCTGACCCTGATTCAAGATGGTGCTCATCCTCTTCGCTCTGATCTCAACCCAGAAAATGTTTTGCTCAAACTTAAAATCGTAAAAGGACCAAGTGAGCTTCACCTCACTTCCTGTTTCTCCCATGTGATGCTGGCTAAGAGCGTTTTGTCATTACCTGCTCCAGCCCGGCGCTGAGGCCCACGAGCCTGAGGTGGTTGGAGAGAAATGAACGCGGACAGCCGGACGAGTCCCGAGCAAACAGCAGCCAGCAGAAGAGAGGGACCTCTCCACCTCCCAGCATGCAGCTGTGCAGCTCCACCGCTCGGCCCAGCATCAGCAGCTTAATCGCCTCCAGCAGGCCCAGCTCCTCTTCTCCACCCTGAAACACTCGCTCGCAGAGTTTCTGTCGCTCCGCAGCAGAGGGACAGTCCACTGCTGCCTTCCACTGGAGACAGAAAACTAAAACTCAGGGTCAATCATCCTTAAATTCATTCGAAACCTGGTTTTGCCAAAATGATAAAAGCAAGTCAAAAATTCATTAAAAAAATACATTTTTCTTGACTTTTAAACCCCATCCCACTAATAAAAGCTATTTCCTTTATTCCTTACATATAACAAATATGAGCCATGGACTGTTATATTAGAGAGATTCAGTGCTTTTATTCTTTGGGAATCCATCTCCTTCGTATCCTTGTAGAATTCCCAGACAGTGAAACAACATCCGTACAGACATTAGGAAACAGCCTCCTTTTAACATGTGGTAGTAATCGTGTGGTTTACAAAAGACGCCCCCCCTCCTCTGTGTTTTTGTGGAGTGTTGCCGGTACCGTGCTCCGGAGAAGCTCCACGTAGCCCTTCAGCCGCTGAGCAGCATCTCCATCTCCCGCCTCACACTCTCCAGGAAATCTCCACTGGCTTATCAGTCCTCCTTCAGCCTCAAGCTGCTTCGACAGCTGGAAACAAGCAAAACGTCAAAGATGTGCAGAACTAGATGGTCTCTTGCCGTGTCTCCTCCACAGGTAGCACTTACCAGCAGAACATCATCCTCTTGCAGCCACAGAGGCAGCCTGGTGGTTTGGAACAACACCTGGAACAACGTGGCTCTGAGGGCGCAGTAGTTGTCCCCCCTTACTCTCCTCACACCGTCAAACTTCTGGGACATCTCTTTATAACCCTGCAGCAGCAGCACAGCAAGGTCACAGGAAGCCTCTCAGATAGTAACTCTGCACACATGACCTCCAAAGGGACCAACCTTTTTAATAAGAGCACTTTTGGCTGTATTTCCTTTCCACTCTCTCTCGCTGTAAGACAAAATGTCCACAGCCGGAGACAAACTGCATCTGTCCGCCATGCCTAAAACTGAAAGTAGAAATCAACAAAAGTATTAAAAACCTATCAAACTGGACGGTCCACAAGGGAGTTTCCATAATGTCTCAAAGGTGACATCAAGAGTAGCTTCAACGGGAACTGTTCATTAAAGGCCTGCAAAACTTTATTTCTCAAAATAGTTTCAAGTTCAATTCAAGTTTATTTATATAGCGCCAAATCCCGACCTGAGTCGTCTCAAGGCACTTCACACAGTAAACATTCCAATACAGGTCAGTTTATTAATCAGTAAAAGGTTTCCTATACAAAGAACCCAGCAGGTTGCACCGAGTCACTGACTAGTGTCAGTGTCTTACAGCAATCCTCTTAGTGGAGAGGAAAACTCCCTTTTAACAGGAAGAAACCTCCAGAGGATCCTGGCTCAGTTTAAGCAGCCATCCGCCACGACTCACTGGAGATCTGGAGCCTGTCAAAATGTGAGAAACACAAAACAAATTTGGGAGAAAGTGGAGAACAAACACCAAATAAAATGGAGACAGGAAACTGAGGAAAAGGTTCGGATTCTGAGATGAGCTCACGCTAAATTATTGTGTAAAATACTTCTCTGAGAAGCTTCCCGACGAGGCTCGGGAAGCTTGGACGAAACTGCAAGTTAGGGCTGGGCAATAAATGAAAAATGTATCGTTATCAAAATTTCTGACTCATATTGAGATAATTTTTCTCATGTCAATAAATTTGATAATAAAAAAATTGAAAAGACGTGTGTAGGTTGGCAACACTCATGTCCCTTTAAGAAGCTTGACCTTGAGTCCCGTAAAAAAAATGTGACTCAACTTAATACACGTGACAGCCGCATCTAGTGGGCAGCTTTTGTTTCTGTAGCCATCGTCCATTCGTTGTTGTTATCAAGGAGAAATATGGTGATATTGATTTTAGGCCATATCGCCGAGCCCTACTGCAAACAATCAGTTATTAAATTGTTGTAATTTAGTAGCAAAGTGTCTTAATTGTGTGTCAGTTTGTTCTTAATTTACCCTCCCCACATTTCACACAAACTAAACTATGAGGACAATTGTCTCGCAAATTTTTAATCATGTTGAATGTTCCATCGCCACAAGAGAACGTCTGGAGACTTTATGGAAACTCCTTTGTGAATGCCTTTTACAGGCTTTACATCGTATAAGACCAACCTGAACATATTTTGGTGTGTCTGAAGGAATTTGATGAAGTAAACATGAAGCACATGGTGATAATATTTAGATTTAAGTCTAATCGTGATTGTGTTTTATTACTTTGTGATGCAGACTGCTCTTCAGCTCCTCTGTACAGGTCTTCTTCACTAAGAAGAAACAAACACAAAATGAATCAATCTCATTTTAGGCATTTTCACCATGAACAAATTCTACTAAAACAAAACTAAAAATCTTCTTTCCGCAGGTTGTGGAACCACTGCTACGCTGACAATGAGCAGGTCTATTTGTCCTTCCGGCCCAACGACCCCACGGCCTCAGCATGAAACTCAGACCACCTCCAACTAAACCTCTCCAACACTGAGCTGCTCATCTTCCCAGCCAAACCAACCATTCAGCACAATATCTGCATCCAAACTGAATCCCTACTTTTTGCTCCAAAGCTAGCTAGAAATGTGCTCGATGACCAGCTGACCTTTAAGGCTCACATTTCCTTCGTCACTCATTCGTACCACTTTGTTATGATTAACATACGAAAGATCAGGACGTGCCAAACCCAACACACCAGCAACTGGTGCAGACTGCATTTGCCTCCATCTAGACTATTGCAATGTCCTCCAAACTGGACTGCATTGATCCTGTGTTGTGAAACATCTACAAATGCCTCCTATCTACTTGAATGTTCATGCAAATGTTTAAATCACGACTCGCTAGCAGAGCCTACTCCACTCTCAAGACAATCCAGACTTGTTTAGATGGTGGGCTGACCTACTGAGTGCTACCAGAACAGGGGTGAAGACCCAGCTCATAGAGAACTTCTTCTACTCTGCACGTCCCTCTGGTCAAGCTCTCTACTTCTACCAAGACTCTGCCTGTTGTTCTTCTGTCTGAGTAGCTCTTCGTTAGCCCCGATGGTAACTGCATAGTTAGATCCTCGTTTCTAAGTCCCTCTGGACAAAACCGAGAACATGAACATAGATCATCAGACTATAGAGATATCTCACATCCCTGATGATTAGAACTCAAGTCAGCACTATAAATAAACCCCAACAAGGATTTTTACAGACCTGCCCTCCAGATTATCTTCTTCAGTAGCAGGTCCATCATCCACCTTTGTGTCCAAACTTCCTCCCAGTTCCTCCTCTTTCTCAGTCACCTCCTGGTCTTCAAGATCCTTCTCCTGAGCAACTTCTGTTCCTGTGACAGCACCTCCTTCCTCCTTTATTCCATCGTCCCTCTCTTTGGTAACATCTTTCTGCACGGTTTCCTCTGCAGCATCCTGTTTGGTTTTCTCAAAGGAAGTTACTTCTTTCAGCTCAGCAGCACTCAGGCATTTAGGATCTGGTTTTTCATCCATATCGGACTTGAAGCTGCAGACATAATTCATATTTTCTTGTTTATATAAACACACATTTATTCATATTTCATTGCAAGAGTGAAACGTTTAATATTTTTTTATATGTAAAGTGTTTTTAGTCCCAATAAAATCTACTGAGAACTCAGTAAAGAGTTTGAGTGGTCACCTGCTCCCTCTAGTGACCAAAATGATAAAACAGTTTATGTAAACAACAGTTGTGTTTTTTTGACATGACCAAGTCTGAACCTGCTGACCTGTTCCTGGCTTCATCTGGAGCTGTGGCTTCTGGCTCTTGGATGGAGTCCATCTTCTCCTCGCTGTGGTCGAGTCCAGGAGAGGACAGGGACATGCCCTCAGAAGCGTCCTCTCCACATGGAGAGGAGCCACTATTGTCCAAACGCTCCGTCACAGCGCTGCACAGCAAGCAAGCAGAAACATATCTTCTCTTTTAGCATTGTTGTGGAATATTTAAACAGGGAAACTAAACAAGCGTTTAATGCTTTTTAATCAAATCTAATGAAGCTTTTTAGTCAATAGATGATTCTGTTTCAACTCCTACAGCTGCAGGAGCAGCATCTTCTTAAAACAAAATGTAAAATAGTGTCAAACCCAGACATCTGTCACCCCAGCTCCTCCTGGGGGTCACGAGGCATTCCCAGGCCAGACAGAAAAATAATCCCTGCAGTAAAATCTGGTTCTACCACAAGGTCTCGCTTTCCCAGTGGGGTGTGATCAAAAAATGTCCAAACAAAGGTGATGAGGAAACGTCCCGTTAGATACCAGACTCCTCGTCTCGTCTCTAAGGTTGACTATCGTACAGAGGAAGCTCATCCAAGTCTCGACCACAAGTGTCAAACACAGATGAACACAAAGATCAAGAGTGGTGATGCGCCGATATGAAAGTTTTGGGCTGATACCGAAATTAATTTGTTTATGTTTATTTATTTGGCAGACGCTTTTATCCAAAGCGACTTACAATTTATAACCTATAGGGCATGTCGTGATCTGTGGGGGAAACCGGAGTATTTGGAGGAAACCCACGCAGAAAGGCCACAGCCGAGTTTCGAACCTTCAACCTTCGTGCAGGAGGGCAACAGTGCTAACAACTGCGCCACCATATCACTTTTATGGCTGACTGATATTTGCTGATACCGATTCACTGACATTTATGCTTCTAAAAGCAGCAGATAAATGATTAAAGCAGAATTTATGTTATATGTACACACACCACACACATTTACGCTTCTGAGATGATTACAATCACTGTCACGACTAAACAATTACACATCATCATCACGGGCTGCGCAGAGCTGGTGCCTTGTAGCAAGAAGGTCCTGGGTTCTCTTCCCAGCCTGGGATCTTTCTGCATGGAGTCTGCATGTTCTCCATGTGCATGCGTGGGTTCTCTCCGGGTACTCCGGCTTCCTCCCACAGTCCAAAAACATGACTGTTAGGTTAATTGGTCTGTCTAAAATTGTCCTTAGGTGTGTGTGTGTGTGTTATTGTTTGTCCTGTGTGTCTCTGTGTTGCCCTGCGATGGACTGGCTCTCTGTCCAGGGTGTACCCCGCCTGATTGCCCATTGACCGCTGGAGATAGGCACCAGTCCCCCTGCAACCCTACGTGGACAAGCGGGTTCAGAAAATGGATGGATGGGCATCATCATCATCATTCCCCCCCCGAAACAGGAAAACAAATAGAAACAAGATGAAAAAATATCGGCCCGATACCAATATGTTAAAAAGTGACTAACATTGGCCGATACCGATATTGATGCCAATATATTGTCCATCCCTAACCACGAGCTTTATTTCAACTGGAGATGGACAGATATTCTACTGCCGTACCAATGTCGATAAGTAGGGGTCATGGTCAGCCAATTAATAATATGCGCTGTCGATTTCTTGGCCGATATCCAGACATTTTTCATTTTATCTGCATGCTAAAATTTCACTGATAACATCAGTGACCACCGCACAACAGGAAGTCATATAATGGACTGGGACAACACACGGATCTTAAACAACGAGCAACAGAAACATGGATCAAGGAAGCGATTGGAATAAGGAGACAGGAACCCAGGACAGTGAACACAGATGAAGGATTATACACACTGGACCACTCATGGGACACGATGATCAACAGAGAAAGCGCGGGCAGCAGATAGCGATTTCGTCCTCAGCTACCTGAAGATAAACGGAGACAGAAGGGAGGCCACCACCATCGGTGATACTCTGACAAAGGCACAGCGAGAGCCGAAGCATGTCAGAAAAGGTAAAAACAAGCTCTTTTTACTCTGTGTAAAGTGAAGAGCCAGAAAAATAGTTTTACATGTGTATTTGAATTACCATGTGCCATCAGAACAAGGTTTTAAAGAACGGAAGTTGTGCTTTTTGTTATTATAATAAACCCCAATCTGCTGCTGGAGACTCATTCCCAACCTGGAAGGCGCATTCCCCTTTTCCAGGTTTACACGGCCTGAATTCCATGGAATATTTCTGACTGACCCTGTTCTGATTAATCCTGATTAACAGTTATTTTTATTTACTCACCAGCTGAGAGCTTGTGCCACCTGACCGACTGCAGAGGAAGCTGCAGCTGGCTCAGGCTTCGGCACTGATGACTCTCCTGGAGGTCTGGCTACAGCTCTGACAGCATCACTGGAGCTTTCGTTTTCAACATCAGCATGAGAAGCTGTGACGCGTTCTGTTGATGGGTTAGTCTCAGGATGGGGAGGGGTCTCAGGGCAGACGGCTTCGGTTGACGACGAGACTCCGTCTGTTTTAGTTTCCTGTCCCGACGTTCGATTTTCTTCATCTGGTTCAGATTTTGAAGCTTTCACACACTTACCATCAGCTGTGAAGTGGCCTTTCCCCGGCGAGTTTAAAGTGCATTTTTGAGCCAGAGAATCTCTTCTTCCTTCGTGTTTCTCTCCAGCTGAGTCCTCTTTGACTTCAGATGCTTCGCTTGCAGCATCTTTTCCTTCCTGGACGTTTTCCATCTGTAAATGTCCATTTTCCTGAGTGTTTTTGGGCTCCAACTCTTTATTCTCAAGCTTCTGCTGCTTCGCTTTCACCTCCTCTGCCTCCTCACCAAACCTCCTCCTGAAGAACAACACACAGAAGGACACAAACCAACACAAACACAGACAAACACGCTGCATTAGGGGCATTTGGGGGATTCTTTGTGCGCCGTAGGTGGAGAGGAAGCAGGAAACCTTTTCATCACAACAGTCATTTCTTTAGCGTTATCTCCTGACATCAAAGCATCAAATGTCAGAAAATTTTACTTTTTTTAAAAAACAAAGAGCAAGTGGGAAGTTCCCATCATCCCATTTGTGATCTCAGAATGAAAGTATAAAAAAAAAAAAAAGAACAGATGTTTCTGAAGCATCCCACGAAAACCACAGACGGGAAAATCTGATTCATGTTTTCCTCCAAACTCAAAAGGAAGAAAAACCTTACACACTTATGTATGACCTGGTGGTTTACAGTTACATTTAAGAAGAAATCAAGTTAAAAGAGCCTTTAAGGTTGTTTGTCTGAGTCGCCTCCGCAGAAACAAACTCCTACCTCATGTTGTCGTCTGCATCGGGACCACAGGTGCCGATTGCTGCTCTTTCACTAGTGCATGTGGTCTTTGAGTCATCCTTCAGTAATCCACTCCTCTCCTCCGCGCTGCCACAGGGACTTTCATTTTGACACCAACAGTTCCCCATCTGCTTGCTCCCTCTGGTCAGGGAGGTGGGACCAGCTGGACGGTGGCCCTCTGGTCCAAAAACAACCAGGAGTGCCTGGAGGCTTTGAATAATCCTTTTTCTTTTGATTCAAGAATCCATGACGCAGAACCTCGAGTCGTAACTCAGGGAGCAATCATGGTTTTGTTTCACGAAAACCTCCCTTTGAAAAAGAAGGAATGATTAAGTCAAAACGGATCCAACCCATCAAATTCCACATAAACATCAATGTAATAAAAAACTGATGGCAGAAAAAGGCTTAGAATAACAACTCGGGTGTAGACAGACCAAATGTAAGGTAGGACCTCAAGCCTCTGAACTCAGGATGTTCAGGCTGGGTAAGAAGTATTGGTCTGCAGATCATTTCCTCTAAACAGAAACGTGGCGGTGGTGAACCATCATCATTTAAAAAAATGTGACCGGAAAAAAACAAACGTTTGTGTCATGGTTAAAATAAACAGCAAATACATAAAAGTTTTTAAAGGTATACTACGCAACTTTTTTGTATTTTTAAATCGTTTTCTTGAGCCGGTATTTGCTACAATGACCCTTTACAGGGTTAATGAAATGTCACTCAGATTAGAAACTAATAAAGGCTGGGGAGACATTTCAGCTGTTAGATTAAAAAGACAAACGCACAGCGAGGAGATAAGTTTTGCTTGTGGTTCTCTTAAACGAACATTAGTGGGTGCTAAAAAAAAGCCCAAACTCCCTAGTCTTTCTATAATAGAATTAGCTAAAGGGTAAAGGTGCATGAAGTAAGAAGGACATCCTGTGGTCAAATGTGGGTACTGCAGGCCATGTTTAAAAACAGTTGCTGTCGCCATACAGATCAGCATGTACTTGGTACGTTGATAAGTAAATAAATACATTTCACAGTTATATCGAAATTCCATGGCTTCTTATGGGTGCAAGAAATGACTTCTGAACCGCTCATTTTTCTGGTCAACATTATTTCTTCAACATTGCTGCTTTTTCCAGCTAGTGTGGAATTATAAATGCTGGCGCAGAAGCATTTGCATTGAAGACTTTGCAACCTTGTAGGCTCAATTGTTATTCGCTTTGGAACCAGGAAGTATGGAGGCGGGACAGATTGTAAACTATGGCCCATTCCCAATACTCGCATTTCCACACTTGCACCCTTTAATTTCACGCTTCAGTCCAGGGGTGCAAGTGTGTAGGGTGTCCCCTAGCCTGGCCTGCAAGTCCCGCCCTGTTTATTCTACACAGAGGACGAGTCTGGATACTCAGAGGCAGAGAGCACAATGAGGGGCGGGACTAGCCAGCTCAAACATAACCAATAAGAAAAAAGGTGTAAATGACAACTGTCTGACGACGGCACAAACGTCTTTAGTAGAAAAGCTTTTAGTGCTTCTTCTTGTTGTGGTTTTAAAGACATGTCCAAGTCATTTAGAACAAAGGAAAGAGCCACAGCAAACCTTCACCTCAGATGCCATCTTTGTTGTTTATGAGATACTGAGTGTTGTGGTGTGTGACGTACGCTGCTCAGCGCTGATTGGCTCAGTTAGAATTCTCAGGGGGTGGGGTTATTTGAATGGGAGCGTTACGAGGCCCTTTGCTTCCCATATGGAAGCCTTGGCATGGCTGGCCAGGGTAGGTGTACCGATCCTCAAGTGTGGAAGTTGACCTCACCCCTTTTGCAACCTTGATCCGCACTTATCCCAAGTCTGCATCGATGTGGAGTTGAGCAAAGGATATTACCCATAATCCATTGCTTGCAGCATGCGCTGTGGTCGATGACACAACACTTCCTGTCCTAGTTCGGTAATTATTTGAACACTTGGGTAATACAAACTCGAAGCCTTACTTCCTCCAAGTGCACTTCACCGAAGACCGTAGGGTGCAGTGCGAGTATTCGGATTGGGCTTATGTTTATGACCCTCTTCGGCCTCCATCATGTGTACTTTCTACAAAGGCACCACTGAAAGCATCTTAACCTACTGCTTCACTGTGTGGTATGGTGCTTGTAATGCATCCTGCCGGAAGTCACTCCAGCGCATAGTGAGCGGCAAAGAGGACTGTTGGTGTCTCTCTTTCCTCCCTTCAGGACATCTAACAGCCTTCTTACCTGCAGAGCCCTCGCCATTGCAGGTGACCCTACTCACCTGTCACACTGCCTCTTTAGTCTGCTGCCATCATGGAGGAGACTGTGAAGTCTCCAGGCACGGACCAACAGATTAAAGGACAGCTTCATTCATCAGGCAGTTGGAAAGTTGAACTCCCTTCCATCCTTACCTCTTCCCTCTCTTCTCTTACCCCCTCCATGCAACACTGAACTTTGATCTTTTTATTATTTTTCTGTTAGTGTTATCTTAAGCTGTGTCAATTTTTATTGGCATTTTATTTTGTGGAATTTAATGCTTTTAAATTCTTATTCATTTTGTCAGTGTTATTTTCAGCCATGTTAGTCTTTATGTTCAGATGTCAATTTATTGCACTAATGATTGGAGAGAAATTGCAATTTTGATTATCTGCATGTGCTGTACATGTGATAGAACTGGCTAAGGAGACTGACTAAAAGGAGAAAAACTGACAACCTTCCTGCTGAAAAGGAAATCTGTTTCAATGCAACCTTCCTTCCCTCATGATTGAGACATTAGACATTTGTGATTATTATAACCTATTGCATTTTTAACAGTTACACACAAAGAAGAGAGAAATCAGCATTGAGGGACTGAACAGAACTTAAGGAAAATGTATATGTATAAAAAAGTACTATTTGATTAAAATTAATGTCTGATGAGCTATTATAATGCTAGTGTAGAAACAAGGCTGGTTAAGTGTGGTAAACCTTCATGTGTTCCCTCTAGTGTTGCCTGAATAGCAATCAAAACATATACAATAAAAAATCAGATATAAACATCAAGCCATTGAAAATATTTAGGATGTAAATGGAGACTTAACGCAACACCAGGCTCATCAATCTTGGTCAAATAAAATACCTAAAAAAATTAAGCAAACAAATATTAGAAAGTGTTTTTTCTCTTGTTTTTGCTAGGAGATATTTATTAAATCCTGTCTATTTTATTAGGTTGCAATCTTAGATCCATATATGCTCAAATCAGAACACTTATAGAAAACAAATCACACAATAAAGCTTAAAACTAAATCCATTTCTGAGTAGTTTATGTTCTCATCTGGGCCAAAAGAGACGTTGACATGTGATAGATACGCCCCATTGTTAATATCAACACAATACAAGGAAGTAGCGATATTAGTGGCAGCTGCCTGGGAAATAAAGTTGTAATAATCATGAACTAACTTACCTTTTTTTAGTTTGACTAAAGTTAAATTCCAACAGCTTTCAGTCATGAAGCTCCTTTTCTTCTTTCACTTTTGCTCCACGTCTCTTAGCCAGTTAGCTGCGGTAAACTTACAATACAATCATGAGTGACGTACGCTCGTCAAATTAAATTCTGCCGCAATAGTTTCCTTTTTTCCACCGCCGTGTTGACATGACTGAATAAAGAGTATTTCACAAATGGTGCGTATTTGTTGTATTTTATGCGGAACATCTGTTCGTGAGGATCCCTAGCTTAGCCGGAGCAGCAGGTCACAGCTTGGTCCGAGCGCATGACGTCACGCTCGTGTACGCTGAGAATCCTGCCGCGTTCAAAGACTGCTCGGAAACTATAAAATCTCCTCAACCGCTGTTAATATTTTTATTGCCACATTGTATTTCATTTATTTTAATGTATTAATATTACTAAATAGTAAAAACTACAAAGTTAGCATCAATAAGCTGATCCCAAAAGAAAGCAATAGATCAAACATGTGGAAATTACTTATTTATTTTGAAAATATTTTAAGAAATTGAATACAAACAATGTTTACATTGTAAACATTAAATAAACATCTATTTATAAAAGTGACACAAAAGCTTGTTTTGTGCAATATCTCAAGTATTGTTAGTGAGATTCAATGTGATTGCTACACACTCTTCAGCTCTTGAATATGAACAATCAGCTCCTGTGGCAGTCCCAGCTCTGATATCACATCCATGCAGCGCTGGAGCAGGACATTTAGACTTTCACCTGAGCAGTCAGTGGACTTTGAGCAGATATTCTGTAACTGATGAGGACCGCCCAAGTCCATCTTCTGTATGCTCCTGCAACACTCCGGCTCTTTCTCTACACAGCTGCTTGGTCCTGCCTGTTCTACCTCCAGATCCTCCATGCTATCAGAGACGTCGCTTACACTCAAAGGAGGATTCTCCAGACGTTTCCTGATGCTTTCCATGATTTGGTCTTCATGTTGTGTTACCAGTTGCAGGAGGTCAGTCACAGAGACTGGGGGAGGGGTTTCTGGATGCTGGATCTGGCACCAGCACCATATTGCACTGTGATGGGGGACACAAAGAAACAGCAGTGTAACAAACAATGACACAGGATGGAACAAAAAGACTTTTCTAACATCATCTCCACTAAATGCTGGTAGCTTCTTTTCTGACTTTTCAGCTACACCTCTGCTGCAAAAGCAACTCAATAGCTCATTGTTACAAATAATTTATTCTTTCTGAATTGTATATGTTCTTGGTTTTAGCACGTTTTCCAACCATTTGTTGTGTTGTTTTTGCATTTATAATGGTTTTTGCTGCAGTAAAGACATTTGCCAAACATCAATAAAAATCATATAAAAAATAATCCCCCCCCCCCCCCCCCCCCGAAACTATTTGTGAGTTACAACTGATAAGATTTCTGCCATTAAAAGCAAAACTGTCCCAAAGGTGTTGTGTATTTACAAGCTAACCACATCAACAGACACTTGATGAGATAAAACCACAGAAGAGTCTGGGAATGAGTTTCTAATAATTATATGAGTATATACCTGACCATTCCTTTGAGGCGACCCAACGCTGCAGTCTGAGCTGCTCCTTCCCTGAAGCCCTGGTTAAAACCGGCCTGAAGCGAGGCCTCCTCTCCGGCATCAACTCCGTCTACATAACCATCCTGTTCTCAACACCGAGCAACAGAACTTGAGTCAACCATTCACTAAATAAAGAGCTACATTCAACTCTACCGCTCCCATACAGATGAGTGGGACAATAAATTTAAACACCCACATTAAATGTAATTATTCCTACTTGCATTCAATTTTAATAACAACGCGTGCTAAAGTAAGCTAGGGCTAACGTTACCATGACCCGTTTCTTCATGTTGGCTGCCCACTCTTTACTCTGTAAATTAAGCTCGTCTGCATTCTCGTCGAAAACATCTTGACCACTGAACGCAGTTTTCATCCAAGACATCGTGAGCCTGGAATATAAAACGGTCTGCTCGTGTGACTGTTTTAAAAGCGTCCATTCAGTCACAGGTGTACAAGCTACTTTCGCTGCTTCAGCAACCAATGTGGTGATGTCATCAATATGCGACCAGATGGGCAGGTTGCAGGGCCGACCGCTGATTTAAGCCGACAGATTCAAGTCAGCCGCAGTTTAAAGCCGATCACCACAGGTTCACGATTCTCTTGTTTTTAAAACAGCGCCCTCTAACATTTAAATGTCTCATGAAACAATATTGGACCGGAAACGTTATCATTACACTGTGGGACACGTCATACCAGTAAAATCCTGTAGGAGGCGCAAAAGGCTCACAGTAAAACTGAACAACACATTAATCGCTTGAAATGCGTGTTTATTTTATTTTACTAACAGTTGATTTTTCCGCGTAAAAATTGTCATTATTGCTTTAATTTTATTTCAATCTATTCATCATATATTTGAACCTTGTTTTATCCCCACTTTTCATATGAAAACACAAAACCTGCAGGAATATTTTAGAGATTTTATTGTCTTGACGTCATGTTCAGCTATTTTAAAGTTTTGCTATCAATATAAAAGCTTAAATATTAACCCAGTGAAGTGTTTAGAGTGTTCTAGAACACACATTTAGTTTATTAGACATATAATAAAATGTCTTTTAATATGATGTGAAATTATACATTAACAAATGTAATCAATCTCAAGGATTTTAGCCAAATTTTTTGACAGATGTGGTCATTTTTAGGTTAAATTAAGAATTTACATTAAAAAATCAAGAATTATTAAATTAAATTTGAATATTTACTTTAAATGTTATACTAGAAATTGTGATAAGCATTAGAAAAAAGCTTTAGGTAAAAAATTTTTTTAAATTATGCTTTTATAAAATAATAAAATAAATAAATATGATTTCTAAAGAGAAGGGCTTTGTTTTGCTGAAATAAATGAACTGTCATCTGAATGCTGATTAAATCACTGTCCAGTGTACACATGCAGGTTTCTCTTTAAGTTTTCAGACCAGAAAATGTCATCAGTCATGACAAACACATTATTCCCTCATCAATAATGCATCTCAGCACCTTTTTTCTCCCTTGTTTTATTTTCAGATTCTCTCATTCTTCATGCCATGCTTTATGGAAAACACAGGAGAGAGCTGGACAGACGGTAAATGCATTTCACCTTGGCGGAGTGCATTTGCAGCTGCCGGACAACAATAGCCTTGAGAATACTCGGAGGCCACAGTGGAGTTGTCTCTGTTCTGGAAATGGAGTTGGGCCCGGAGGCCCGGTTCGCGGCCGCCACACCTCAAGTCCCCTTGCTCGAGGAGTCAAAACAAGCAGCCGGGGCAATCACCTGACACATTTCCATCCAATTTCCACTGCAGAATGTGTTCATTTTTAGGCTAATGGCATGTCATTTTGCAGGAGCCTTTGGTCAAGAATTAATCCTGGAATCAAAACAGATTTTCCGGGGAGCAATCTTCCATCAAGTATTGATTTTTTTACACTCACAGAGCCTGTACTCCCTAATTTAACCTGACAGCCAGCAGCACAATGGACTGGGAGCACCTTGGCGTCTCACAGAGGGAGCTCTCCTCCTCCTCCTCCTGTCCATGAAGTGAAAGAGAGATTTGGAAAGAGGAAGAGAGAAAAAAAAGGACTCCCAGATGTATAAAACAAAGAGCATTGCTTCGAGAAAACAGAAAGATAAAGCTTCCGTCTCTCTCTGTTTTACCTCTAATTACGTTTTCAAGTATAGTGCAACTTGGGCAGGTGAGGCTGAGATGGAAGAGAGGGAGAGTGTTCTTGGTCCATCAGCTATCATTATAGGCCTGTTGACATCTCCCTGTCTTTGAGTGATTCTCATCTGTGATTTCCCCTGGCCATTTTCTGCAGATGCACGGAGAGGGGTTTCATCATGGCCCCATGAAAGGGCCCAAAGTGTCCGCACAAGCCCTCACTAATAAGAAAGCAAAGATGTGTTCGACCATGTCACTCCTCTCCCATCCATATTTGCTCTCTTAAAACCTTCAGATATGCAATCATTCTCTTTTCTCCCCTTCTGCCTCTCCGTAGGCGCTGTAAGTACACTATACCCTACGTAGAGGTCAGCGGGATGAGAGGATGATGGAGGGCAGGGCCGGTTATTTTCCTCTTGCTCTTAAAGCTGTGATGACCCATGAGCAGGAGAGTTGCACTTTTCCAAAAGGTTTTTTCATACGCTGCTTACAAACTGCCAAACAGGACGGAAACTATTTCAGTTTTTATCTGCTTTGTTAAACTCCCAATCATCCCATTTTGGACTAAATGAGCTGCAATGTGTCTGATTGGTGATTTTTAAGAGTAAATATGAGTTCTCTAAAAGGTTGTTGCTAAAATGCGAAACAGAAATTACATTCATGATGTTGGACCATCACTTAGCAGAGTGTTAAAAGTAACTCACCTGGAGATTTCAGCCCAAACATCTGGAATAAGACGTCCAAGATGTCAAGGTTTGTTTGGGATGGTGTTGGTTTTGATAGATTAATTTAGAAATTGTTTATTATTTGATGGTATCAAAGGAGAAAGTCCCAAAAATGCTGGCTTATTACATGAAAATGCATCAGTTAGTGTAAAAACAGCTAAGCCATTCTTTCTAAAAATCCCCTTTATTCCTAAAACTGTGATACAATAAATATAAAGTTTATTCTCTTTATAGTGTACATACATGCATGTTTAACCATACATTTTGCATTGTGCATGTTGCACTTTTGACATTGTTGAGGGTCTGACCTCATGAGGAAATTACTATGCAGTGATTTTCTCTAAAATGACTGTGCTTAAATTGCTCTGAAAAGCAAATAATCACATCAGCGCCAAGAAACTTCATTTCCCATGATGCTTTGCACACGGAAGCATTGGGTGATGTTACCGCCTAGTACCAGAAACACGTTCTGCGCATGTGCGGGAAGCCGTGGAGCTTTCCCCGCGAACTAAGACCATAAATCTTCAGCAGAGACAAAGAAACCTCGTTCTTTTGCCCAGGATACCTGGCGGTGAGGACACGCTTGTCGAACGCTCCGACTTCTTTGAGCACGCGGAAGCTCTAAGAGCCAAGTTGAGCCCACGGGACCGCTGATCTGCTCGTTTCTGCTCCCCTCCAGCTGATGTTTGAGGACACAGAACCAGCGAAGGGAAACAACAACTCCATCCAGCTCTCAGAAACGCTGTAAGTTGTCAAACTCAGCCCAAAAGGAACTTCGTTTTCTTTGTGTCCAGCCGTGGAGAAACACTCGTGGAGCCAAACAACGGAGAAAGCATCAAACCGGCGGATGACGCTGAAAACTGCGGAGAAACACGGAGAACCGTCAAATCAAAAGGGGGAGGGACGCCTCGCTCTTTTGGTGATCAGAAAACTCATTTTTCTCTCATTCTTTTCTTCTCCCGTTTCCTCTATAGTCCAGAATAAGCAATAAAACCGCGCTATTGCTTAAAAAAAGTAGCTTCGTGTTTTCCTCTTTCGTTCCAAATTCGTCCTTCGGGTCATTTTGAAAGAATAAACTGCTTATTAATCATTGTTTGGTATCTTTAAATGTTCGGCCATGGCCAGGCTGATAAACTAAGGATATTAACTCGTGATTAATCTTTTGTGTTGTTGCATGATCCTTTGAAATGTTTTGAGTGATTTAAGGTTAAGTTACTACTGATTCTAAGTGCTTTGGAAGTTAAAGTGCAAGTTGCCACCCACACTTTAGCCAGACAAAGGAGTCAGCCATCTTGTATTCAAGACTCCATTTTGAATCCATACACACGCACACACACTACTCCTTTGTGAGAACAAAGGACCCCATTCATACATCCTACATACACACAAAACACCTTGAACATTATTTTGAATATACATCCTTTTATTATATCACATGGTTATTATTCATTTATGCCACTGTTTATTCATTTGACAAATTGTTAATTAAACGTTATAAAATTCAGATTTTCGTCTCCAGTAGCTTTGTTGTGTCGAAGAGAAGTCTCTGCTCCAAGGATTCTACGAACTTCAAGAAAGACTGATAAGAGTTTTGGATTCAATTTTTCCCCGGAAAAAGGGGAATGGTGCCCCGTATATCTAAGAATATCTTAATTAATTAATAAATCAGTAAATATTCCCATATTTACAGAATTTATTGAAGAATCCAAAAGTAAGTTGAAGCTTACTAATTGTTCGCTCCTAATAACCCCAACATTTTATTGGTGCGGCCGTGTGAGGCTTGGATACACAGAGATTTCTATCCGGCACAAACAAACAAATAAATCCAAAGAGCTTGAATTAAAAATAATCAGTTGTTCAGCCTTGAACCAGCAACAGAGTGGTGCTGATTTCGCTGAGCAGGAAGCTGCATCGAACTCTCACCAGTAACTCAGTGCTTCTTTAAAGGTGCAACGTGTAAATTAATTCTGGTTGACCTTTTAGGTTAAAAATTCAGTTTTTCCTTAAAGGTGCAACGTGTAATTAATTCTGGCTAACCTTTTAGGTTAAAATTCAGCTTTTCCTTAAAGGTGCAACGTGTAATTAATTCTGGCTAACCTTTTAGGTTAAAATTCAGTTTTCCTTAAAGGTGCAACGTGTAATTAATTCTGGCTAACCTTTTAGGTTAAAATTCAGTTTTCCTTAAAGGTGCAACGTGTAATTAATTCTGGCTAACCTTTTAGGTTACAATTCAGTTCCTCATTAAAGGTGCAGTGTGTAAGTAATTCTGACTAACCCTTTTAGGCTAAAATTAACTGCTAATTTAGCGACTTTAACTCACAGTGGCTATTATAACTAACTGAAACCTTCACTCAAAGACTGATAACACCCTGTTTGCTAATATTCTGAAGGAATAACTAGCATATTTAACACTGCAAGTGTTGTAAGACGTTGCTACGGCAACGCACCAGCTTTTGCTAAAATACTGAAAGGAATAGTATTTTAAGCGTCAGTCACGGCATTCCGTGCAATCTTAAAACGCTAAAACCTGTGCGCACAAAGGTTAATTTAGTGTTTTTCTGCTACAAAGCTAGCAGTTGCTGCCCAAAAGGTGCAGCTTGAGCTATCTGCAGAAGCTCTACTAGGCTATTTTTGGTTCGGTTGTTAAAAATGGAGGGACAGAGTAGTGAACTGACCAACTCCCAGCAACCAGGTGGCGCTGCGGCCCACGACTATGAACCTGGCCTACT